TTTCTTCGAATATGTGAGCATTGATAATGGCATTCTTACAAGAGAAATGTTGACCGATGAGCAAATTATAGACTCCGTAACCTCATCTACAGCTTTGAGCGATAATGAGAAAGATGACGATTTAAGTGAAACGTATTCTACTGTAGACACTAATGCTGTTCCAACCATTTCTGAAATGACAAAAAAGTGTGAGAAACTCGAAATTTTCTACAATCACGCCAAGTTCCTAATCATATCTGGGAGTCCTTTTGTGATCTTGAAAACTACATAAATAACATCTATTTTTGCAGCAGAAATGTACAAACAAAAATTACATACTTTATGAAGTAGATTTCAAATTGAATTTTGTTTATCTTTTTGTGTTCTTTTTAGTCATACCTACTAACTTCTACTACTCTATGTAAAAATAACGAAATAAAATACATCACGTGTTTTTGTATTATTATTCGCTTATAGAGAACTCCGGATATAACAAACCAGTTTTAGTTTATTTTTCAGTTTGTTATATCCGGACTCAACTGTATATGTTATTGTGCATGTGCCTCTAGATTAAGAACACCCAAGAAATCTGGTAAACCAGTAAACAACTGAGCATGTAAAGCTGTAACAACTGCAACATATGGACTGTAATACTGAGTTTTACAGCCCAACAGAACGCCATAAACAACATACATATTTGAATATTCAATTAACCTTTCAATCAACGCGTGGTGCCTTGATTTTATTGAGAAGCGTTTAAATAGATGACAACTGTTTTCTGATTTCCAATGTTATTTGGTGAAAAGTGCCGTATCAATGAACATTAATTAATTTATTGCTGGGACATTATTTAAGACAACACCGCACTAATTGATAAGAAGCATGCTCTCTGATTATCACATCTTAATAACGATCCTTAATCAAGGTTGCCTTGGAAGCAGCATGCATAATAAAACAGTAAAAAATGAGCAAATCGCGTCGTTGGTTTCATTCATTCGCATTATCAGTTCCTACCTTTGAAACGTTTCCTGCAACTAAAAATGGTGCAAAACCCAAAAGCAGGCTTAGCAGAAGCGTATTTTTCCACAAAAAAAGCACGTTTTAACTTCACAAATTTTCAGTAGATTGGGTCATTGCAGTTGCTATAGAAACCCGTTCCATACGCACCACCAACAGATTTCCACGTTACGCGGCGTTGTTTACTTTCTCGCGACCGTGAATCGACGCCAATGACGTACTTCGGAACTTTTTACAGATTAATCACAGCGTCATTGTTGCTATAGCAACCGAGCACTAGGTTGCCAGTTTTGAACGAATTTAAAACCCGCTATGGAAAATTGAAATAGATGATTTTTGTTTGTAATCAGGCTGGCCGAAAAAGCGAAAGTGCTAAATAAGAAAGTACTAATTATCTGGTGGTCGCAATCTAATGGGAGTGTCACAAAACTGTATTAATCAATTATCTGTAATACGCATCGTCTGTACCTATACAGGGCGATTCAAAATTGGCGCCATTCCTTTTAAGGCGTAATAGGGGCTCACTTGGAAGGTACGGAAAAAATATTGAATTTTTTTTATCGATAATTTTTAGAAGATATTAACACTTGAAAATCGAATTTCAACTTTGTTATTAGGCATTATTTTGAAAGTGTTCCATGTTTAATTGGAAGCATGTTGGAATACTTAAGCATTCAAATAGAAAAATTACGACCTTTGCTTCAAATTACGAAAATTTTTGATATTCAAACAGTTCTCTTCTACAATTTTTTTATAAAAGGTCAAATCGGCAATGATGTTTTTTGGCATTAACAGATATTTACAGGTGGATAGCCCTTGTCAATAATAACAATAATTTGTCAAACTGTGACTTACTTTGGATTATCTTTCACGAATTTGCGGATATGCGATTAGTTGAGGGCGAAATGCTGCAGTAACATGGCAGAAGCTGAAAGAACTCACGCCAACAAAGGACGAGGAGAGTGAACAAGACAACAACAGACACAGAGGAACAAGTACATAATTGCAGAAGAGCCTTTCAGGGGCACACAGAACATTGCACAACAACTGACACTTTCCCAGGAACCAAATAAATACGGGCTACATTCCTACCAAGTATGTAAGATCACATTAAACCAATGGATTACTGAACACCGGTATAAATTGAGCAGGAGTTAATTAACCGAATACGAGAAGCTGCTCGTGAATAGTGCATAATAAGGTGATTAAACAGACACTTGTTTGGAGTTACAAACTGAAATGTATTTGTTTGTACTTTGCAAACAAATTATTAATTCGAGGTTATGAGTTTCGAAATAGGTTCCGTCATTCAACGATTCCTGTTGAATCTACTGTTTATTCTTGTCTATCTTATTGTTCCTCTCTGTTTATCCATGTTTACCGGAGTTTTAAATAATTACGAACCAACAGGTATTTATGCAATGTTAATTAGGCAGATTACCTTGAAAAACATTGTTGCCGTTTTTCTAATATAGTTTTTTGCAAATTTCTCAGTTTCTAACAATTCATTTTTTTACTAATTTTTCTGCACTCCTAAAACACCGTCATGCAACAACTGCAGAGGAATGACGCCAATTTTAAATCACCCTGTATAAACGGAGATCAAGAAAATGTGATGCGATAGAAAGCAATTTTTCGGAATAAGTTATTTTCGTCCACTTCAATTGCGAATGAGTGCCAGGCGACATCTGTTAATGGAAAAAGGTCAAGCCGAAAATAACTAAAACTGGAGAAACCTGATGTAATTTTTTTTGAAACAAGGACAGTTCATGACTTAAAAGAATCAGTAATAGTTAGTAAACTGGCTTCACTTTCGCACTTTATCCAAAGTGGTCGGATATTCTGTAACATTACATTACGAAAATCTCTTATACCCAATAATCCAAAAAAGTCGCCTAGCAGATGCAGCGGCTCGTAAAAGTGCACTCTCTCAACGAGTATTTTTTCCCGAATTAATAAGCCCCGAAATGTAAAACAATGACACTTAATATGGTTGTTGGTTCAAAGTTTTTCAAAAACTACTTTGAAAGGTCGATTTTTTTTAGGTTGAAACTTTGAGGTATCCGCGGAAACTTTTCCTAAAACTACATGGTTTTTTGGTGAAAAAGTGTGTCTTGAGGCTTTTTAAAAAAGTCAATAGTTTTCGAGTGATTTCCAATTTCCAGTGAATTTCCGACAATTTGACGAATGCTTGTTAGTCTTGACAAAAGCTGTTTGCAGAAAATCACAATTTTGTATTTTCAAAGTGAAATTTGACGTCCTGGATTTCGGATACGAAAGCTTTTGCTTGTATGTATATTTGGAGAAGGTCTATTTACCCCTGAATTTACGGTACTTATTTCTGAGTCACTCTGTATATTGTATCTTATTCAGACCTTTAAAGTCACCCAGATTAAAATTGGACCACCCTATATAATGCAGGGTGTCCCGTAAGCACATGATCAAAAGGGTACTGCGATATTCTTTGGATCAAAAGAAGACGATCTGACCGAACTTTTATAAAAAAAAAATGTCTGGCTCCACTGCTATTGATGGTCAAAGTTCTTCAAAAGAGGTATCTTTTTTGAAATATCGGGAGAATGGTACGATGTATTTTGATGGCGAATTTGTAACCGACGTATTGGGTTATTGAAAAATACATGCAATTTTTGGTGTACTATTTTCGCATAAATACGTGCGTTTTACTTTCGTATTATTTTTATCAAACGAATTGGGTTTATTGCTCGAAACTGGTAAGTTTTTCGGGCCTTTAGGGCGCCGTGAATTAGAATTCCTTCCTAACGAAAACAAATATTTTTTTTACAAATTTAGTTCTTCAATTATTACAAAAATGTTCTGTGAGCTACACTACAGCTACTTACATTTTTCGTTTTTGAAAGATAACAGAAACTCCCCTTTTTTATTTGGGTCGTAGACTTTGTTATTTAACTATGAAGTCAAAATTTAGGAGGCGATTTTCAAAAGAAACTTTTCCGCATTACCTTTAAATATACAGGGTGTTAAATAATAAAGCCAACAAATATTATGTTATCTTGATCGGCTTGATGGCTGTACTTGCTTGATCGAAAGGAGTTTTAATATGTAAAAAAAAATCAAAATGTAAATGACTCACTCGACTGATTAGCCAAACTATGAGCTGAAATAATACCCTGTAGAATTTTGGGAATTTAAACAGTTTCAAGTTTTTATCTAATTTATTGTGTCCAATTTATGACTCTATGCGATCTCATTAGACTAAGCTGCAAAACAGTATTTTCAAAGATGTTGATAGCCGGTAGATGAATTTCAAATCCAGTTAGCAAATTCTTGGAAACTTCGATTAGGCTTTAAATTTAGCCAGCTAGATTTTTTCGTTAAAAGGGCTGCAGTAAAACTCTCTCCTCTCACTATGCAAGACTTTTTTATTTGAAGTCGTGTTTATCAAAAACCACCAGAAAGAAAATGGTTCTAACCACGAACCAATTTATGTTAATTTACTTTATTCTAAGTCGTTATGAACGACTTTTTCCGCCGTATTTGCACGATTAGGAAAATTACGGCTTCTTTATGGACAACAAAAATAATGTCCCTGTTTTCCACTTTTGCTTTAAAACATCTTATATAGACTACGAATATTTTGGATCTAGAGTGCCCATCTCATCATTGAGGTACTTTTGATCTAAACTGCTCAACAAAAAAAAACGACACTTAGCAATTTGGTTTAACTTTGGGACTGGATAAACTCCTGCGGGCGACTTCTTTTGTTTGGTGCATTATATAGTGCAAATATTTTTTCCATTAGTGTCTCTTTGTGCAATAAGTGAGTGCTTTAGACAAAGTTTCTACAGGGTGGCAAATGAAACAATTCAAAATTGGTGAAAGTTTCACAAGTTCTCCGCTGGACAAAAAAAACCGTTTTCTGCATTAAGATAAACCTTGTGTCTCCAAAAATATTAATGAATTTGTTGCCCATCTCCTTTATTTAAAGAGTAGTTGCAAAAATCAACTTGTTGGTTTGAAGTTAAAAAAAATTCTCTTAAACCCTCTCAAAATCTAGCGCCCACGCTGAAGCTGAAGCCCCACAGTCGACTTCAGAAAAAAATTCAATATACCGAGTTGCATACATTAACCAAATATTTGAAAGTAATCTTTTCTTGCAACCCTGTATATAGAATTTTCGTCTTAGTCTGTGATGAACCTATGAAGTTGAAGCCTCAACATGAGCTCTAGGTCGTGAAAGTCGATCCAAGAGCAGAAAAGTTATAGCTGCGAGCCCAAAAAGTTGATTTTTTGAGACCAAGCTGTAAATAAAATGAAGAGATGGCCGAAAACTTCAAGAAACGTTTCGAGCTATTTGGTTTCTTTTTAAACTTTTGGTTTTGAGATCCAAAAAACTATTTTTTTGTAAATTAGGAGCATGCCGAACTTTTTATGCAAAAGTTTGCATTTTTCCATCTTGGAGGTGCTTAATTTTGATCAAAGCATTGACTAACAGACAACAAATGGAGCTCAATAACGCTTAACAGAAACCAAATGGCTCTAAGCAATCAAAATGTATCTTGTTCCAAAGTTAGGGCAAATTTGGTTGTGTAACGTTCATTTTGCATCAATTGCAATCATAATTCTTTCGTAATTAAACCAAAATTCAAGGAGTTTTTTCACATCGCTGACTAGAAACTATAATTGCGCTTCACTTGATGTTTCAGAGCAACTAAACTATTGGACTTTGATTTTGGCACATACTTCAAAGGATTCGCTTCAGATAAACAAAGTAAACGTTCCACGGCCCAAAATTGGCCTAATTTTGCAGCTGAATAAAATCTGATTTCTTTTCTGTTTGAAGCCTCATTTAGCTTAATTCTTCTTCTGTAAGTCAGTGTTTTTTCAAAAAATAAGTCCTCTAGAGAAATTCCCGACAGTGCGGAAGATTTCTCTAGAGCTCAACAGCAAAGCCATTAAAATAGAGCACGTATTTCCAACAGGTTGTCGGATTTTCCCTTTGTGCTAACTTACAGGGTGATCTCAAAAAATCGACTTTTTGGTCTTGGAGTGAAAACATTTTTTTCGCTTGCAGTGATTTTCCAAAATGCAGAGCTCATGTTGAAGCTACAATTTCATAGTCGACTTAAAGCAAAGTTGCATTACACGAGTGAAACAAAAGAGGTCTGCCCCCGAAGTCCGTGATTCTGGCAGCTATTAGAAAATGCACTCATTTTAGGAAAACTGTAGTGGTTTCTTAGGAAATCTGTATTCACATGGGATCCTGTAAAGTTTTCCAATTAACTTCGTTTAAGCAATTCGTTATTGTCGGGAAAACTCCAAAAGAGCTGAGAGGAACAAGTTTTCAATTATCAAGTAGGTAGCACTAGTAAAACTGCAGGTGTTAAAACGAAATAGATACAGTAAAGTCCGCTTATAATGAACCCGGGTATAGTGAACTTTCGGTTAAAACGAACTTTTCTCCTTTAATTGAACCGTCGTCCATAAAGACCAACGTATTTTTTTACTGTTTATAACGAACCCGTTTATAACGAACTTCCGGATAAAACGATCACTTTTTAGGATAGTTGTATATTCACTTTCCGTTTATAACGAACTTCCACGCTCAGCAACACCAATCCTGCGGAGTTGTTTATATTAGTGAGAGCGAGAGACAGGCAGTGACTTGTTGTTTTTTGCCGCGTTATGTATGTAAATCGTTTTAGAGTGGAAAAACAAAAACGCAAAGCTTTTTCACTAAATGAAAAGTACCAGATTATTAACAAAATGAAAAGTGGAGTAAAGCAGAGTGACATTTGTAAGGAATTAGCACTTGGAAAGTCTACTGTTGCAACAATATGGAAAAACAGAGAAAACATTTTATCAGCGTATGACAAAACAAATGTTAGATGTAGAAAGTTAAAATTATCTGCACATGAAAAGGTTGACAAGG